CCCCCCCCCATTAAGGACTTTTCTATGCTGTAATATTTTAGGTTCTGGTGAAAGCCTGTAGTGAGTCAGAATTGTCTGCCACAGGCCCCACATGAGTGAGGGTGTTTTTAGTCCATGCTGTGGCTCTGGTATTCATCCGCATGGAAAAGATCTCTCAGGATGGGGCCACATATGTCAGGGTGCATCACCCAAGAGGAGGAGCTTGCCTTTGGAGTACATGACCCTGCCACAAGAGTGCTGGGCACCAAACATGCTTCAGCATCCTTCACTGCATGCCCACAGCCTGAAGGCAGAGAAATGCTCCCAAGGGGCAATCCCATTAAAAACATTTGCATAGTATACTCTTGGTTCAGTCTGCAAGGTGGGGCAGGGCTCCCTTCAAGTTGAAAGACTGCTACATATTAATGGGACCACAAGGTCACAGAATGAAGAAAGCCCTCATAATAGCAAAAGACACAGGATGAGATACAGTGCAGAGAGGAGAGGTAAACAGGATCTCCAACCTAATACTATGCAAATGACTTTTAGCAAGGCCTTGGCTCATTGTTGGAGACAAGTAAGTATCTGTAGAAATGCATTTCCAAGCCCAGGAATATAAAGTTAAAACAGAGTGATTGATGTATAGGGTATAATAGAAGACCATTCTAGTAGAAAGTGGACAGACTTTAATCAGAAATAAAAACAGAAGCCAGGCACCTATGGCTCACACCTATAATTATAGCTACTTGGAAGACTGTAATCAGGAGGATGACAGTTTGAGGCCAGCCAAGGTAGAAAAGTCCAGGTTTCACCTCCAATTAACCAGCAAAATGTTGGGACTAGAGGCATGGCTCACGTGGTAGAGCATCAGCTCTGAGCCAGCAAGCTGAGCCACAGTTCAAGGCCCTGAGTTCAAGCCCTGGTACTAACACACAGGCACACACACACACAGACACACACACAAATAACCAATTTGAAAAAGGGCTGGAGAAGTGTCTCTGCAGCAGACCTCAGTTCAAACTCCAGGATCACAGAACAAGAAAATGAAGAAATAGGGCTGGGAAGGTGGCTCAGTGGTAGAGCGCTTGCCTTGCATGCATGAGGCCCTGGGTTCGATTCACCAGCACCACATAAGCAAAATGAAAAAAGCTGGAAGTGGCGCTGTGTGGCTCAAGTGGTAGAGCGCTAGCCTTGAGCTGAAGAGCTGAGGGACAGTGCCCAGGCCCAGAGTTCAGGCCCCACAACTGGACCCCCCCCCAAAAAAAAAGAAAATGAAGAAATAAAAACAGAAATGACAAGGGCATCCAGGATGGGGAAAAAGCAAGGTATATGCTGCTTGCCCTTGGCATCCAACACTGGTGGACAGACATGTGCTGGTACTGTCCAAGGCCAGGCTCTCCTCCAGCCCTCATGCACCGGGCCCAGTCCAAGCCCCTCCCAGTGTGGCCGGCATCAGGCCCTCTGGGTCAGGTGCCCAGGGTTCTAGTAGACATGAGAAAGTCACCGTGGAAAGAAAGGTAACTGGCAGTACTAACCCAGAACAACCTGTCATGGAGGATGGCAAGTAAAGTACGATAGAAGGAAGACTGTCAGGAGCAGCCCGTGGGCTTCGCAGATAACGGGGACAACTGACACTTGGGACCTGGGTGGACTCATGGCAGGGCCAGGTGGAGAAGGGCAAGCAGGCGTAGAGCCCGGAGGCATGGTGACTGTGGGCCGGCGGGGCAATGGGATCCAGGGACTGGCGGGAGAGGACACAGGGAACAGGGAGTCTTGGCACGCAGAGAACTTCAGGGGAAACAGTAGTGCCATTGCCTAGTAAGAAGACACGGTCTGTGGGGCCGGGCGCGGTGTCGTCTGTCCTCCCAGCTGCTCAGGAGGCTGAGATCTGAGGATTGAGGTTCAAAGCCAGCCAGGGCAGAAAAGTCCATGAGACTCTTTATCTCCAATAAACCACCAGAAAACCGGAAGAGGCACTGTGGCTCAAGCGCTAGAGCGCTAGCCTTGAGCTGAAGAGCAGCACTGAGGCTCAGAGTTCAAGCCCCACGACTGACAAAACAACTACAAAACTCCGCAGAAAGAAAAGCCTGGACTCGAGGGTGACCGCCTGCCCCAGGCACAGGGAGCACTTTTCGAGGAGTCCTCCTCCCCGTCGCAGGGGTGCCCACATGGCAAGCACCACTGAGCCTCCGGTGCTTCTTCCCACTCCCCGCCCGGTCACGTGGTCCACACTGGCCTCAGTGTGCGGCCGGGATGTGAGCCGGAGAGGTGCTTGCGGGCGTCAGGGCCCGGGCTCGCGCTGGGGCGCCGTGTTTCCCGGAGAGGCGCTCTGCCGCCTGAGAGCTCGATAACGCCACGCATCCACACAGTCACGAGGTCCGTCACCGCGCAGGCCCCGCCCCAGACCATGGGCGACCGCCCACATCTTAATCGCTGCCCCGCCCCTCCTCTGCGTGTCCTGCTGACTGAAGTGGGCACCCGTCAGGGCCCTGTCGGACCCACATGCCCAGAAGCCAGAGTCTTCTTAAGGCTGAGCACACAGCACCCACTCACCCCAGGAGCGCCAAGGCCGCAGGCGTCCCCCGTGGGCCCCGCCCCATCCTCCACAGCGTTCGTTGGTCGAAACCTCCTCAAGATGCCGGAAGTCCGGCCCAGACACCGCCCGCTCGCAGGAAGTGTGGTTCTGGCGGGTCCCCGGGCGGGCTCCCACCATCGTCTTCATTTCCTTCTTTCTGGTGGTCAGTCCACTTGCACTGAGAGCCTTTTTTTTTTTTTTTTGGTCGGTCATGGGGCCTGAACTCTGGGCCTGGGCGCCGTCCCTCAGCTCTTCAGCTCAAGGCTAGCGCTCTACCACTTGAGCCACAGCACCACTTCCGGCTTTTTTTTCTGCTTATGTGGTGCTGAGGAATCGAACCCAGGGCCTCATGCATGCAAGGCAAGCGCTCTACCACTGAGCCACCTTCCCAGCCTAGAGCCAGCTCCTGACCAGAGAACGGTGTTGGGATCTGGGAGCCGAGACTGTTCTAAGGCTGGCGGGCCGGAGCAGGTGGGGTACTGGGCCAAGGCCTACTGCTGAGCCAAGTATGCAGGCCGGTGTGGGTGTGTGGGGTGGGACTAGACACCCCCTGCCATACCCCTACAACACACCTGTAACACCCACCACACCTCATCACACCCCTACAACACTCCCACCACAGCCCCCCTCCACACATCTACAACACACCCACCACATGACACACCCACCATCTACAACACACCCACTACATGTACTACACACCCACCATACAAATGACGCCCACCAGGTGCAGTAGCTCACGCCTGCACATGACTTGTGGGTTCAAGGCCAAGTGGGACCAAAATTCTCAAAACCTCCTCCCAACTGCCAGCTTGCAGGAGGCACCATCCTCCACCCTAGCCACATAGGAGGCGGTCTCTAAGCCAGCCTGGGCCCAATGGCTGGTGAGGGTCCTTCGGGAGAGAAGCAGCCAGGAGCAGGTGCAGTCCAGGCCATCTTCTCAGATGCTGCAGGAAGTGTAATGACCGAGGCAGACTGGGGTCCAGGTACCAGTCAGGGCAAAAAGCAAAAGAAGGACAGCCGCCTGCTTCAGTAGCTCAGCACATACCTAGCAGGCCCCAAGCTCAGAGCACCACAAACCAGGACACAAAACACACACATCGACCTGACAGGCTTAAAAGTGTGGTAAAGCGTGTTTTGTGGTTTCCACTTGTTTGGTCACCACGTCCGGCGTCACGTCCGGCATTCTGGTGAGCCTCTGCAGGCTGCACAGAGGACACAGAGGTTACTCCCAGGGTTGCCTGCTGGGCTTACACAACCATGCAGCGTCAGCCTGGTGTGCTTCAGGGACAAGGCAGACGTACGTAGAGACAACAACTCAGGAAGGTCAGACAAAAATGTGAACATCTGTCTGGAGAGCTGTGGACAGACAGAGAAGGGAAGAGAGCTTAGTGCCGACTGGACTCCACTGCAGTTTTCCACTGAAACATTATTTCTCTATAGGTTGTTCATTTTTCTCTTATTTTTGTTGCACTCTTCAAAACACTATAAAACTAGACTAGTCATCCCAGCTATTCTAGAAGCAGATATAGGCAGGATCATAATTCAGTGCCTTCCTGGCAATTTACTCAAATTCCATCTGGACAAATAAGCTGGGCCTGATAGTATGTGCCAGTGACCCGGCTAAGATGGGGAATGGATGAGAGGATGCAGTGTGGGATTATCTGGGGAATGAGTGTGAGAAAAATACCTAAAGCAAAAAGGGCTGGGGATGTGACTGAAATGGCAGAGCACCTGTCTAGCAAGCATGAGGCCTTGAGTTCAACTGTGTCTTATGTATATGTTTTACAAGAATAATATTTTAATAGTAGCATACAGTGAGGACTTAGTACATGAACAAATAGGTAAGATGGACAGAACAATGTGGTTGCTTTTCCTCATGTTTTTCCTCTTCTATATTTTATATCAGTAAAAAGGGATGAAGTATTTATTTATTTACTTAGTTTGTCAGTTGTGGGGTTTGAACTCTGGGCTTGGGTGCTGTCCCTGAGCTCTTTTTGCTCAAGGCTAGCACTCTACCATTTTGAGCCACAGCAATACTTCTGGTTTTCAGGTGGTTCATTGGAGACAACAGTTTCACAGATTTTTCCTGCCCTGGCTGGTTTGGATCATGATCTTAAGATCTTAGCCTGGAGTAGCTAGGATTACAGGCATGAGCCACCAGTGGCTGGCAAGATGAAGTTTTCTTTCTTTTTTTTTTTTTTGGCCAGTCCTGGAGCTTGAACTCAGGGCCTGGGCACTGTCCCTGAGTTTCTTTTGGCTAAGGCTAGCATTCTACCATTTGAGCCACAGCACCACTTCCAGCTTTTTCTGTCTATGTAGTACTGGGGAATTGAACCTAGGGCTTCATGCATGCTAGCCAAGCACTCTACTACTAGGCCACATTCCCAGTCTGAAGCATTTATTTCTGCGTTTGCTTATATCAAATGGCTGCTCAGTAGGAATAAGGATTTAAGTTACATTACTATGGGCCAAATTTATAGTAATTAGTACTATGGAGGTAAATAAAGAAGTTTATGCACAAAGAAAAAGATGAGACGGGCTTGTGTCCATGTTTCCACAGGTCTATTCACCAAACCTCAGGACCCCTTTCAAGCACTCTAGATTACTATTATTATATTTTTCCCAGTCTTGGGGCTTTAATTCAAGGTCTGGGCATTGTCCCTGAGCTGCTTTTGCTCATGGCTAGCATTCTACCACTTGAGCCACAGTGCCACTTCCAGCTTTTTCTGTTTATCTGGTGCTGAGGACCTGAACCCAGGGCTTCATGCGTGTTAGGCAAGCACTCTATACCACTAAGCCACCTTCCCAGACCTTAGATTTCTATTTCTACTTTAAGAGGTTTTCAGTGATTGAATAAAGGAATGTAAGAGCAAAAAAACCCAAAACAAAACAAAACAAACAAACACATTTTAATAAATTAAAAAAAAAAGGGCAATTTCTAATGCTGGGCACTGGTGGCTCATACCTGTAATCCTAACTACTCGGGAGGTTGAGATTTGAGGATCATGGTTCAAAGCCAGCCTGGGTAGGAAACTCCATGAGAATCATCTCCAATAAACCACTAAGAAAACCAGAAGTGGTGCTGTGGCTCAAGTGGTAGAGTGCTTGCCTTGAGCAGAAGAGCTGAGGGACAGTGCCCACGCAGAGTTCAAGCCCCATGACCGACAAAAAAAAAAAAAAAAAAGAAGCAATTTCTAGATTGATAATGCCTGCTTCAGCCAGCTGGAAGCCATTTTCTTCCCAGCCTTGCATAGTATGAAAGATAGGCACCCACAGCTCACAGCTGTGATGCAGCTTTTGGCAAGGTCTCCCTCAGAACTAGAGACCACACAGCTCACAGCTGGAAAGTGTGAATCAGCCCGAGCACAGGACAGGCTACTCTAACAGGAAGACCAAGGGGAGCACTTGGAAGAGTTCTCCTGGAGCTGTCTGCATGTTCCTATCTCTGACCAGAGTCAGAGACCAGTGGAACCCACAGTGAGCCATCCCTGCGTGGACTCTGTCCTAAGTCTCTTTGGTATATAGCAACCAGAAATCCTTAGGTTGACGGCCTTGTGAGAGGAGAAGGAAGCAGGGTCTCATTATGTCCAAAGAGCATATAACCTGGCACTGCCTCAGAATAGACCAGCACACCAGAAGCTCTCCTAACAGAAGTTTCTCTGCAGACCCATCAGTATATAATTGAGAAACATCAGGAATCTCACACATTGGAGCCTCGAGTTCCCAGCTTTCTTACTCTGAATCACTGAAGCAGTGATCGTCATTATTTAATGTCCTCTGACGTGAGTCACTACCATAGGTTTTAGGAACACCATCTCAGGAACTAAGGACAAAGACCAAGTATTTATTTTCTGTACCAGGCAGGAATGCAGACCGGGCCAAAGTTTAGCGAGAGATCTCTGGCACAGCACTGATTCCTTTGAGTCACAGAAAGTTAGCCCCTCCCCAAAACTGTTTACCCCCTCATACTGGCAGATTCCAATTCTCTATCACATTCAACTATCACATATAATGAATTGAATCCTTAAGATTAAAGGTTACAGCTGGACGCCAGTGGCTCACACTTGTAATCCTAACTGCTCAGAAGGCTGAGATCTGAGGATCAAGGTTTGAAGCCAGCCTGGACAGGAAAGTCTGTGAGACTCTTATCTCCAATTAATCACTGAAAGCTGGAAGTGGAGCTGTGGCTCAAGTGATAGAAAGCTAACCTTGAGCAAAAAAGCTCAGTGACAGCACCCTGGCCCTGAGCTCAAGCCCAATGACTGGCATTATAAAAAAAAAAGATTAAATATAATTTAAACAGTAAGATCTTTATTACTTCACACACCAGAACAATGTGAGGCAGACAGTTTTTCAAGGTCTATAACTCAGAGGCTCAAAAATTCCACTGAAACTGTCAGAGGAGGAGCCAGGTACCCCGGTGCACTGACTTGGACTGTGGTGCCAGCACCTGAGAGGCCAAGGCAGGCAGACTGTGAGTTTGAGCACAGCCTGGGCTATATAGAAGATTCTGTCTTAAACTAACTGAAACCAATAAGCGAAAGCCCCAAAATCAGTCAGAAGAAAGGGAATGGAAACCCCCCTGCAAGGAATTAAGACTACAATATTGTCCAGGGAACGAGGGAGAACACAGACATCTGTGGTAAATGAGATATGGACATACTCAGTGGTAGAGGTGCAATGGTTTCAGAATGACTATCGTGGGAAAGATCATGGGCACGTTAAATGCAGAATGTGGCTCCCCCAAACTCACCTACCTGGAACTAATGAGGCACCTCCCTACTGTGGATGCTCAGATGAATGAGGTTCAACTTCAGGCAGGAGACTCCTTCACACAGCTGAACAATCAAACAGCACATTCTCTGAGGGTCTGAGACCGTCACCTTAGGTGGACTCTCTCGTGCGGAACAAGACTTTCTCATATCCACTGAATTCAATTCAAGAAATTCTGGGGTCGTGAGGTCTCTGATGCTGAATCAGAATAGACTGCTACCTGAACTGGCTGTGTCAAGAGGCCTTTATCTGGTGTGAAGTTTCTGATGCTGAATGAGGTTACAGTTTTTGCTAAAAGACTTCCCACACTCACTGCACTCGTAAGGCCGTTCTCCAGTATGAATTCTCTGATGCAGAATAAGGCTGAAGCTTTGACGGAAGCATTTCCCACACTCACTACACTCATAAGGCTTTACTCCTGTGTGGACTTTCTGGTGTTGAATGAGACTGGACCTTTGTCTGAAGGTTTTCCCACATTCCCTACACTCATATGGCTTTTCCCCAGTGTGAACTCGCCGGTGCTGGACAAGGCTGGAGCTGTGTCTGAAGGACTTCCCGCATTCGGCACATTCGTAGGGTTTTGCTCCAGTGTGGATTCTCTGGTGTCGCACAAGCTTGGATTTGCACCCGAAAGCTCTTCCACATTCAGCACACTCATAAGGCCTTTCTCCAGTGTGAACACGCTGGTGCTGAACAAGCTTGTATTTGAACCTGAAGGCTTTATCACAGTCACTGCACTCAAAAGGCTTTTCCCCGGTGTGGACTGTCTTATGCTGAATAAATGTGTGCTTATAGGTGAAGGTTTTCCCGCAGTCACTGCACTCATACAGTCCCTCTCCAGTGTGGATTTTCTGATGCTGAACAAGTGTGCGTCTGCGGCGGAAGGCTTTCCCGCACTCGTCACATTTGTGACTTTTGCCACCAGAACCAGCAACACTGCGTGGCTTGACCTCCTCAGGAGAGGCCTGGTGCTGAAGGAAGCCCAAGTTGTCTGGGAAGTTGTTCTCAGCCTCCCCACAGACATAGGGCTTCCCTGGTGCGTGAATGCTGTAGTTATTATTTATACAGACCTGGTGTAAGTCCTTGCTGTGGGATTTCTCCCCACTGTGCTCCTGGTTCTGATAAAGGTTTGCGCTGAAAGAGAATTGTTTCTCGCATGTGTACAATTTCTGATCACGTCTTCCTTTCTGCTCGGCTGTATACTGCCTATCTTCCATGGCAGGGTCAGACATTTCACAGAGATAGGCATTCTGGGTGAGTAAGTCTGGCGTTGGAGTCCAGATGTGTGACAGTCTTTCCACGGAAACATGCTGCTCAGAAGGAACCTGATTATCTATGTCACACCAGCAACCTGAAAGCACAGACAGTGGTGAAGGGCATGCCGTCTTTTGGGTATAGCAGCCATGTCACAAACGCTAGTGGATGAGGACATGGAGATCTTTTCAGGATAAACATGAAATCAGACCGAGGTGGAGGCTGCTCTGTGGTGCCAGGGCTCTAAAGCTCACAAGAGCCAGGAGGCCTCACCAAACAAGCAGAGGAGCTGGGTACAGCACAGCAAGGGAAGGCAGATAGGGCTCCCAATTTTCTCCTTTGTGAATGGCTTTCAGCAGGACCTTAATTACTGTCGTCATGTAAATGCTGTTTGTCCAGAAATAGAAAAACCCAACTGCAGATGAGCAACTAGAGTTCCAGTGTCTACTGTCTTAACACCCAATGTCTGGGCCACCCATGGAGGGCACAGCAGGGGCAGCAAGAAAGAGAATGGGCAATAAGTGAGGGCAGAAAGTAGCAGAAAAGGGGCTGGGAAGGTGGCTCAGTGGTAGAGCGCTTGCCTTGCATGCCTGAAGCCCTGGGTTCGATGCCTCAGCACCACATAAGCAAAAAGAAAAAAGCAGATAGTGGTGTTGTGGCTCAAGTGGTAGAGCGCTAGCCTTAAGCTGAAGAGCTGAGGGACAGTGCCCAGGGCCAGAGTTCAGGCCCCACGACCAGACCCCCCCCCCAAAAAAAAAAGTGGCAGAAAAGCTAGGAGCAGAAGTCAGTGGAAAAACAAGCTGGCAAAGCACCAAGAATGGGAAGAAAAGAGCCAGGCAATGGTGGCTCACACCTGTAATCCTACCTACTCAAGAGGCTGAGACCTGGCAAAATCAGTTCAAAGGCAGTTCTAACCAACAAATCGGGAGGGGGGAGGAAGGGGAGAAAGCAAAGGAAGAAAAAGGAGGGGGAAGAGGAATAATAATGAGGTGCAGCCTTAGCTGGACAGTCCCACGGCTCCACCACCTCTCTTCCAGGTTTCCAAACCCAGGGTCAGGGAGAACAATTTCAAGAAGACCACAGCCTGGAAGACCATGTGGAAATCAGGCTTTGTCATGAAACAGGGCTAAAGTGGTGTAAGGTGAACATGGCCTGATGTGACACCGTCTCTAAGCTCTCGCCCAGTGGAGCAGGGTTCTGCGCCATCGAGCCAAGGCTGGAGTCACATCCATCCTTGTCCGGTTCCCACCCCACTCCCAGATCTTAGATAATGTAAGTTCATGAGGAAAAGATGTGACAAGTATGCCTTTTTATGGGCCACAGAAAGAAAAAAAAAATCACAAAAAGAACCTTGAATGAAGACCTCACAGAAACAGCTCTGGCCAGTGCCGGTGACTCACACCTGTGATCCTAGCTACTCAGGAGTCTCAGATTGGAGGATTGTTGTTCAAAGCCAGCCTGGGCAGGAAAAAGTCCATGAGACACTTATCTCCAACTAACCACCAAAAAGCTGGGAGTAGAACTATGGTTGATGGTAGAGTGCTCACTTTGAACAAAAAAAGCCATGGGCCAGCATCCAGGACTGTCCCTCTTCCCTCCCCCCAAAAGGCTCTTAGTCCACAGAAGTAATACCAGGTTAGTGGTTATAATTCTAGCACAAACAAGCATCAAGAACTGTCAACTAGAAAGGAGCAAAACACAGGACAAAGAGATTCCATGACCTAGCTAGAAGGAGACAAGCAAAGTAGAATCCACTGACTCACTGCAAGAGTACCTTGAATTCTTTCTACCAGGCTCCAGAGCAGCAGGCACTTGGGCCACAGAGAGAGCAAAGTGCAAGCATGTGGCTGCATCTAGCCTTTTGAGCACAGCCCAGGAAGAGAAAGAAAAGCAGCACCCACAGGCTAGACGTGAAGAGGATGAGGTAGGCAGTGTCCAGCCCACTTTGGGACGGTATAAGGCACTTACCCAGTGAGGTCACAAGGACAAAGTTGTCCAGCATCACACTGAGGTACATGTGTCTCTGAGCCTCGTCAAGGAGCTCCCACTCCTCCCAGGAGAAGTACACAGCCACGTCCTCGATGGTCACCGTGCTCTGTCATGATGGGGGACAGGTGAAAATGTCGACTACATGTCCGCTCTCCTCCCACCTTCTCGACCTCAGTTATCACACTGCTGCTACCCCCTGCTCATGCAACAGTAGGCAGGTGGGCAGATGGGTGCCATGGAAGACATAGGACTGCAGCCCAGGGTCCCCCTCCTTTCTGCCATGTAGCTACCCTGGGATTCTCCCTGAAATGTTTCATAACACAAGATGGTCACACCCCACTCTTAAGTCCCAGTACTAGAGCCTCAGCTTGTACTTCCTCTACACATGCACACCATTCTTTAGACTGTCCAGCCCTTAGCTGGTGGAGCTCTCTTCCAGGTTTCTAAACCCAGGGGCAGGGAGAACAACCTTGAGAAGACCACAGCCTCAAAGACCATGTGGGAGTCGGTAAAGATCTCTTCCTTACGCATATTCCATGCCTCTTCAACCATACTGGCAGAAGTGAGCCAGAGAATTTAGGGGAGCACTGGTGATCTTTCATGTCTCCTATCCGGCCCTGGAAACCAGGTGACTTTGGGATGAACAAGTAAACTTTAAGCGTTGGTCCTCCTGTGTCTATTTTTGGGCAAGGAAGGGCTTGGCCCGTGCTGTGCTTTGTCAGGGCAGTCCAATTAGTTTTCCCTCAGAGTTGCACCGAGAGGACTTGAACCCTAGCCTTCACTGTGAACTCCTCGGTTCATAATCTTCCATGGTTCCCAAGGCCCTCAGCGATGAAGATGCCAACGCACAGCCTGCCGGCAGTCCTCATGAAGCCCGATAGACTGGGGAAAAGTGAGGTGTGCTAAGCCTTCATGTACTTAAAGGGACCCAAAGTTCTTGAGAAAACAGGCCTGGTGAAAACAACTCAGAAATATTAGGTATTTAGAAACACAGAAGTGCTGTCTTTGCTTCAGGAGAGACCACAGGGCGCGTTCTTTCCTGAGGGGTGCGTTTCTCACCCCAAGAACTAACCCTTGTGACAGGACGCGTGCCTTCCTGAGAAATACGCTCCCCCCAACTTCAGCCACCTCCTGCCCCAAGTGCAGAGACAGCGGGCGCCTCTTCGTCCGTGTCTTGGCGGGACGCGTTCTCACCGGACACTCAGAAGTCACACCGGCTGTGTCACCTCGGGGCCAGGCCCTGCCTTAACACTCCCTGCGAGCGCCCTGGCCCCGCTTCTTTCTGAACAAAGCCCCGTCAGACTTTCCCACCGCCGTGGCTGGTCCGGAAATCCCCGTTCTGCGGTGGTAGCCGAGGGCTCCCTCCTGCGG